CATTGGATCATAGATGATAGATAGATAGATAGATAGATAGATAGATAGATAGGTAGATAGATATAGATAGATGATAGATGATAGATGATGATAGATGATAGATGATAGATGATAGATGATAGATGATAGATGATAGATAGATAGATAGATAGATATAGATAGGTAACTTGTTGCTTCATCTGAGCAACTTGTTGCTAAAGTCTGCTGTGTACTTGTCTGCAGAGCAACTGGCCTTGTGCTGAATTCATTCACACACATCAGAGTGGAAGGCAAAGAACTGTGTGAAGTACATTTGTCTGAGTCCCACCCTTTTCCAGGAGTTAATTCCTGTGTTTTTTCCCCTGGGGGTACGCAGGGGTACGCATACCCCTAAATATTTTGTGAATCTTTGTACTTTAGTCCATTTACTTTATTTATTTTTCCTGATTTGAACTATAAAGTGGTGATTTTCTTGAGTCAAAATGAGAGTACCCGTAAAGATTTTCAAAGAAAAAAAAATCACTGATTAATTCTACTGTGAAATATGGATAATGGAATATTCCCCCAAGGCACTGCCACAAACTGTGCACTTTCCCCCCATCTGATGAAAGATCCAAGAAAGTCCAGGAGTGCCTAGTATGTCTCACCATTCTGAAACGTGCATATTCTGGGCATACTTATATGTTGCTCAGCTGTTCTTCATTGTGAAGGACACCTTTTCAGTTCTGTGTTTATTATTTACTTATATGCCACTTATCTGCAAAAATGGCTTTCAAAGCTGTTACATGTTTCTGTCATTGGTTTTGTAAGATCTCTTCCCATGGTGACAGCTAATCTTACAGATTAAATAAATCTCACGCAAGATTGACCAGGATAATACCCCCAATAGATATCTCCAAAGAGATAAGAGTAAGATTCCACAAAACCATAACATTGTCAAAGTAGAGATGATGGTCATAAGAATGCGGCCTGTCTAGTTTTCAATTGAACACACTTCTAAAATCCTCAGTGCAAAAAAAAAAAAAAAAAAAAGCTTCAGTAAAATAAATAAAAATTATTGAAAGGAAGGTTGACGCCTGCAGTGTTAGCTCAAAAGATGTGAATAGTTCCTGGCCTATACGTGATGGAAGAGCCTTGCCATGTTCTAAGGCAAGAGGTGGACAACCTGTGTCTGTCCAAACATTGTTGGATTACAGATCCCGTTGGTAGTGTTGGGAGCCGCAGATTGTCCATGTCCTAAAAAATGTGCATTAGGATCATTAGAAAGGAGGGAGTCAAAATATCATCTCAACTCCTGCCGGAATATTATTTATACTATTGGGCAAATGAATCACATCATGACTCATCTCCCAAAATATCGTGACAAAAATAAATAAATAACAAATAGATGAAGAAACAGCACGTCTCCTTTCTCAGAAACCTGATGAAGGCCGTTTCAAAGGAAACAAATGTCAGCTGTGTGCATGTGTGTGTGTGTGTTTTGAGGCTCATTCCTATGAATAGATGGATAATTTTAAAATACCCTTAGGCTTCAAAGACGATTAACAAGTGATTTACCCCCCCACCCCCTTTGATGATGCAAATGGTGACGATGACAGCTTTGTTTTCTCCTAGGTTGGGAGGGAAAGGCTGGTAGTAGGTACAATTAATTCAGCGCAAGTTGTTTAATGCAGTCCTCACAACTTTTGCGAGATCTGCCAAGAGATCCAGGCAGAAGATTGGCTTGGGTTCCTCAAGCAGCTGTTCAGCTTCCCACTTTGCTAGAGGTACATTGTCGCAGTAAGCAGCTGCTGAGAGTGTGGGAGAGAGATACTGTCAAAACGAAGCAACAGCAGCACTCAGAATTGAAAGAACGTCAATAGCAACAGCTCAAGAAGATGAACGGAGGGCAGTAAACAGCCTGCAGGAGTCAGCACAGGCAGGGCCATCCAAAGACATATGCTACCTGAGGACAAGATGGCACCTCTCCCATTCCACATAAAAAGTAGAGCTGACTGGCAGTTAATGCTGGTAACACAACAGAGTCCTCTACTATACCTGAGGGCAGCAGGCTGGCTTAGAGGGCACAGGGCAGCCTGCATGGTTCACATAGTTCTCTCCAGTGTCTGCCTCTCACTATCTGCTGCCTGAGGCAGTTGCTGCACTCTGTCGAATGGTAGGGCTGGCCCTGATCATTGGCACAGATCATAGAATCATGGCCTTTTAAGCCATCTTTTCCAACTCTGATCAGCGCAGGAAATCCAGAACTAGATTATTTTCAACAGATGGCTATCTGGCTTCTGCCATAAATCCACCATCAAGGGAGAGCCCACCTTCCTTCAGATAACTAGTTCCCTTGTCAAACTGTGCTTATGCTTAAGGGGTTTCTCATGACATTCAGCCCAAATCTACCCTCCTGTAACTTTGGATCAAGTCCTGCCTCCTGGAGCAGCACGGAAGAATCTTTGTCCTGTTCTATGTGATGCCCATTCAGGGACTATGTATCTTCTCTTGATGTCATCATCTATGCTAGCCATGGTAGAGCTAATGCGCTGTATGCAGAAGGTCCAAGGCTTCAGTCTAATGTATCCTGCAACCCGAGAAACTTGCCATTTTAAATATTCCATGTGTCTGACTAGAATGGCAGACTCCATATCATGATGCCCAGCCAGTCGTGTATCAAACCTGCACCTGTTTTACTCCATGGGTTTCTCTGGGAGGAAAAAGCCTAGCTATCTCCACCCTACTTCTCACCTTGTAGAGGTGAAGTCTTGTGTTAATTGCATCTTCCTGCAGCGTCCTCTGCCCATATGGGACCCCCTTCCCTTATTTGTCAATTGCTCCTCCAGCTGTCACTCACAATCACTCCAATTAAAAAGATAAAAATGGCACCATGCCTATAGATTTCATCAACCACCAGCAGCTGCAGTGACCCTAGGTGTAAGCTTTTGATATGTTACTTTGCCTAGTACAGGACTAGTTAGACCAGTGTTTTTCTTTCCCACTGGATTGTGAGAGACTCTGGCACAGCCTTTGCAGCATAACATCCTCCAACAGAACTTGGTAGAATAATCACCATAGCATCATAGCATTGGCTTTTCAAATATTGCTTTCAGTAGCCGCACTGTCATGCCTTACCTCTCAATGTTTTATGCCCATGTTGATTCAAATGTCCAATGAAGTCCAACATTTGGCTTCAAAATTACAAGATTCTTCAAGCTGTTAACAATTCTGAAAAGGTACAGATTCAGGCATTATAAATCCCCACATATCTGAGAAAAACAGAAACAAAACTAGAGGAAGAAAACCTGAAGTAAGACATGGAACTATAGGGATGGTAATAAATTAGAAAGGGAATTCAATTCTTACTAAGGTTTGGCACTTGAATAACAAATCTAACACTTCAATAACTTCACTTACATTTTTTGTGAAGGGTCTGGCATCATAGATTATTTACTACCTGCACATCTGTATGATAAATAATAGCTTAGGAGTTCCATTTTTTCTGCTACTTCAATTAAAGTGTTTCTTTAAAAATATCCTCCATGCAATTTTAAGGCAGGAGATGTGAGCTTGCTTTCTAAATCACTGAAGCAAAAGAAATCATCAGGTATATTCGTCCAACGGTTAGGTTTCCCAAATCAGTAGTAATGGCGGGCTTTCTGTTGCTAGTTATGTGGTTCATAATTTTCGTTTAATATGCATCTTCTTCAGAGTCAAACACATAGGTGCTTCCCTCTTAAATAGTTTTTAAAATGCTTGTTATAATACATGCAATACTTCTCATTTGTCACTAGGTGTCACTATAGCATCACCTACACTCTAGGAGAAAAATAAGCATTACCTTCATAGGAACCACATGGATAACTCCCTGGAAAACTGTCCATCCTTAATAATGCTCTATGACAGTTAGAGAGAAATCATCCTTGTTCCACTTGTGGAGCCTGCATTGTGTTCATACAAACAACAACCTTGAAAGAAAGTCAAATAGAATTACGATGTCAGTGTAAGAGAATTTTATGATCACATAGGTCTAGGATAGTACAAATGTATGCTGTAATATAAGTCCTGCAATTTGGCCACACATTATCATTGCTGTGAGAAAACTGTCACCAGAATTTTAAGAAGGAACAATAATATTCATTCTCTTCTAAAAAGCATCAACATACTGAGTAATCAAGAGCTATCTACTCTGAAATGTGTGGCTTACAACAAGCTCAAAAAGTGGAGGGAATTAAACCTTGAAGGTCTAGAGGGGATGCTGAATTTCAAGCTGCTGAAATCCAAAGCCAGCATTTACTGCACTGAGCAATGGTTCTAGGTCAACGTAGCTCAAGCTGTTCAAACACCCACTAGAATATTTTGTTTCCCATCGGTGTGCAAACAGGAAGTTGAGAAAAAAGGAAGTTGAATGAACCAATTTCTATAGCTCACTGCAAGCCTTGTGTGTAGAAAGCCCACAGGATTTTGCAGCCTGCCAAATACTGTGCCTGTGTTTCATTTTTTCCCTGGTTTTGTTTGGATAATAATTTACAAACACTGAGATGAGTTTACCATATAGAATGGCAAATTAAAATAATCAGAACAAAAACAGCTTCTGTGATATAATTTGTAGGGAACAGATCGAGTAAATGGCGGAGCTTAAATAAAGCATAGCACCTGGTAATTTTATAACTTTTAGAAAACTGGAGTGTACGGGCAGGAAAACAGGAGGTCTCGTTCTGTTTTATCTAGCACGATATATTGAATGAGGGTGCTCCACTTGATCTGTTTTTATTTCAGCAAGATGCAGCTTTCTGTGAAAGTGGTAAGAACTGAATACATGGCAAAAGAGCCACTGAGACCCCAGATGGCAGCTCATCTTGAAGTTATGACAAAATATTTAAAAGTGGATTGAGCGGTGGTATCGGGCATGGTGAGGATCAGGGCTATTTCCCCCTACATTTCAACTTTCATACATAGGACACAGCCTTATGGTGAGCCTTGTCCATCTAGCTCAGTATTGTCCAATGGCTGGCAGCAGTTCTCCAGGATTTCAGGGATGGGGAGGTGTGAAGAACTGAACCTGGGACCTTCTACACGCAAAGCAGATGCTCTACCACTGAACTATGGCCCTTCCCAGTAAGCTGCCTTTCAGCATAAACACTGGATTCGATCCAACGTATCCCTTCTTCCAAAGGAAGAACTCTTCCTCTTCTAGAGACATCCCACTGGGGCAGGTTGGTTTCTGATGACACATTTGCTGTGTAGCCATTTATAATTGGTATCCTGATAAACTGGTGTCTCTCCATGTAGTGAAGGGAGGCTCAGAGGCCTGGGCAGGCTGGGTCATCCTCTTATATACCTGCTGGGATTGACAAGTCATCTGGCCCTCACCTGAATCTCATAGCTCTCTTGTAGCTGCCTCTGATTAGTTATTATTTGACTCTTGGAAATAATTGGGGGAAATAATTAGCATCACACGTCATGTGCATGGAACTTGCCAAACCAATTAACCAACTAGAAGGATTACTGTTAATAGCACCAGTTTTCCTATAACTTGATATTGCTGGATAGCTTTGATGAACTGCAGAAGCATTTTTAGTTTGCTTTCTGTTGCCACCCTAGAACTTTTCTATATTAGTGCCACTTTGTTTTCTACGATTCCTTGCAAATGAAGGAAAACAACTTTTCTGCTTGTATATGGTGATAATATAATTTTGGTTACTGAGGACAAACAAGATTGTACAAAAACAAGATTGGGTGCAGGCCTGGCCAGGACATAGGCATCCTGACTGTGACAAAGGTGACCTGTGTGCTTGCTTGCTTGATTAACAGCTGTTGGGAACTTCAAGGTCCCTGCTCTCCCTTCTTATGGTCTTTGTACTGGACCTGGAAACTCTAATAGAGAGCATTCCATGTCAAGAAGGAGGGCAAGTGGGCACTCTATCAAATGACAGGGCAGGAGTTACACGGAGCAGGGCCTTTTCACTGGTGGTGCCGATTGTATGCCTCCGTCTTCCAAGTCTTGTTCTCTTTTGGCCTGTATTTTGGAGCTTTATAATTTAGGAAGACTTTGGAAGAACTGGTTGACAAGTCTTATCAGTTGCTGACGTATGAGTGGATTTTATTTGCTGTGCTTCTGGTGCACCAGGGTTTCCACCAGTGTAATAGAGTTGGCCAGGATGCCGGAAGGGATACAATTTACAAGCTTTCTCCATTATCTGCACAGCAGGGGGTGTTCTGTCAACAGTGCAAAGGCTGAGCTGAAGCATTCCCTGCTGGTTACCTGCTTTCAGCAAGAAAGGTCACTGTTTGGTAGTACCCAATTGGTTAGTTGTCAGATTCTAGAGCCCCCTATTGGTGGCTCTTAGGTAATTCACAAAATACAGAGTCCATTCATAAAACAGTGTTCATTCATAAAGCAGTAACATAAATCTTCATTGCTACATATTGGGTGTATATTTCAGCTGTTGAATGTACAAGTTTATGGCCATGCTGTAGTGTAGTGCTTATGCGACTGTGAATAAAAGGTGGCTGGGCTCATTGTCTCGGGGTCTGGGGGGTGGAAGAGGTGTCAAAACTGATTTCCAATAAGTGCCCCCCCTTATTTCCATAACAAGTCCTTGAGTCTGTACTCTGAATGGTGACACCAGGGACCCAGAAGGTGCAGGGCTTGTCAGTCCAACCTCTGAGCAGTCTCATCAGGGATGACCTGAAGGCAATTGGAGCAATTGGACCAACTTGGGCCCCACGGGCTGCTCCAAAGGGGCCCCCTGCACCAGGGCAATCTAGATGGATTTTATTTTGCAGACTTTGGCTGTGAACTGGGGCCCTACAAAAAAAAATTAAAAAAAATCAAGTTGCGCCCCACTGCTTCAAATTGGGTCCCACTGGTTAGCCCAGAGTCTAATAGTTGCTGGGCCTGAGTTGCCCTGCCCTTGCATGAAGTCTTGGGTTTACAATTTTGGGAAAGGGGAGAGTGTGGCACTGGGGAGCGAGCAGGCTGATGAGGCCCCCTAGACTTAGAGGCCCGAGTTGCCCTGCCCTTGCATGAATTCTTGGGTTTGCAGTTTTGGGAGAGGGAAGACTGCCTGCTGGGGAGCGGGAGGGCTGGCAAGGCCCCCTAGATTTAGAAGCCCTAGGCTTCAGCCTACTTAGCCTATACATAAATCCGGCACTGCTTAGCACAGTGCGGCTATGATCTGAAACCACCCTAAAACAGCTCCCATATATTTGAAGAGATGTCAGTTGAATATATTGGGAGTTCTATGGGAGTTCTAGGCAATTTATGGACAAAGACACCAGTCCCTTCTTGCCATCGCTGGAAAGGTCTTGTCAAGAGTTTGGTCTGCTTAAGCTTGGTTTTGTAAAAAGAGAAAGGGTTTCCCCCTCTGAGATGAGAGAGGTCTGCTCTCAAGAGGTCTGCAACAAATCTGATTTAAGCAAATTGTGTGTGTGTGGGGGGGGGGTCGAGTCTTAACCTGACACTTTGGCTCTATGAAATGGTGGAAGTATTACTGCAAACACAGACCAGTCACTCACAGAAACAGCAGTGTCTTGTGGGGGGAGGCAGTTTGGTAACCCATGCCAGCTTTATTTAGGCTGGCAATCAATAAGTACAGATCAGGCCCTCTGCCAGCCCATGCTGGCTGTGAGAGTAGCTAGGGATCCAACTGGTTTGGGATTTCATTCTGGATCAGGGAGTATTTTAATTTTTTTTTTAAAAAGAATTATTTAAATTATGAAGTTTTCCATGCCATCTTGTGATATTTTAAATTCTGTGTTAGTAAAAACATCACGGTGCATAAAATATTCTACATACTGGGATATAGGATGATGTCTGAAGATAATTCATATTGTACCATGGTGATGCCAACTGCCTTAGTTTGTAACTGTTTCTATGAGTGCAATATATTTCTCTAAATACCATTGGCTCTTCCACAGCTCACTCTACAGAGGCCTTCTAGATTAATATATGTTCTTTAATAAAGACACTATCATGCAGAATTTAAAAACAATTCTCTGTTTCCTTAGAAGCTAGGCTTCAGAGTAAAGGAATCTGGAGACAACAGAAGTCTCAACATCGCCATCTCTTGGAGACTCATAACATTTGTTTTAGCCCCTGTACTGTACTTTTAAAAACTGAGCTGTAAGTAATGACAAACGGAAGTAAACAGTTGGCAGAGATTATAGGAGTTACTATGCAGCAAACAAAGGGAATTTGGGGCATAGACCTCCAAACAATGGATGTTCAGAACATATTCTGAGAAAATTACAATTTTATTTTTTAAAAAATCATATATCATGGTATGTTTGTCATGTTGCACATGCTAGAGTCAAGGCATGATTCAGTCATTTATATGAAAGGAATGGGTGGCACATTTTAGAGGCATGCCTAAATTTCAATCTGAACCATGGCCTGAGTGAACTCAAATAAAGAAAAATAAATGATTGGCTAAAATGAACCGGTATCTAATGAACAGACAAATAAAAAAGAATCAAATGTTACTGTACCCGTATTCAGAAGGATTGAGACAACAGGACCTTTAAATCATGTTTTAAAAGCAAAATGTTTCCCTCCCCAATTAAATAGGACTTGTGCCAATTAATCAGCAAAAACTGACTAAAGTGCAATGCTTCATCAATTTTTTAGCTATGCACATGGAAGGTCTTAGGTTCAATCCCCAGCATTTCCTGGTAGGACTGGGGAAAAATCCCAGTTTGAAACCCATCGCCAGTCATTGTGGACAATGCTGAGGTGGATGGACCAGTGGCTTAACTTGATATATGGCAACTTCTTATGTTCTTATTTGAAAATAGATCCTACTGAGCACAGTAGTATTTACTTTCCATAGGATCAGGCTACATAACTTGCTCTGTTAAAACTGATACTGTGGAGTTTGGTTTTTTTGCTCAAATTTGCTTACCTAATATACCAACTCTCCATGCTTTAATTTTTGGCCTTCTGTGGCAAATCCCCTCAAACTAAGATGACTAGTTCTTCAACTGTCAATGAATATTCATTTTGCGCTACTCAGTCATTTTGCCCCTACGTGATCAGAGCCCTTCAGGGTTGGGGGGTCAACATTCTGTTTGCTCTGCTCCCTCAGAAGCTTGATCGCCAAGAATGGATCTCTGTACAGGAGCCTACATGCACTCACCTGAACGTGTGTGGACTTCCTGTGAATAAACCCTATGAAATTGGAGGGTACAGACCACAGCAGATGCATGCTTGGACATGCCACATGGAGGCAAGGTTGGAGACATGGACACAAGACACATAAAGGTTGGGTGTGCTGAGGAGGGAGAACCAGTGGATGTGATGACAGTTGCCCCCTCAAGCATATATACTGTACTTACACTGATCACGTCCTTGGGGCTGAGGTATACTTACATTGCTCGCAGTTGAGATAACCCATGAGCAACCCTTGAGAATCTTGTGGTTGCTCTCCACAGGGTTCCCACAGAACAACTGTGGCTTCAAAAACAGTGGCCCATATTAGCTTTTGCGAGTGCTCAAGCTTAGCAGGAAGAACAGGAGGGTACCTAGAATTACCTCCAGACAGACAGTAACACACACTCTGTCACTACAAAAAAAGGATATAGAACTGTAAAGGGATTCTGAGTGAAGTTCCTCACAGCACCAACTGTTAGGTGAAGGAGAAAGAAGATGACAATTTCCTTTTGCTCCTGTCCTGTCTGACTGGTACAGCAAGGGGCACTTCTCTCCCAAACCCTCCACAGTGTCTATCTATTGTGGGGATATATTGGTACTTGGACACATAAGCTGGATGGGAGTTTTCATTAGAGTGGATTGATTTGCAAAGCTTTCTCTGCACTCAGGACATATTCTGGGAGGAAGTGTTTGCTATTTCTGAGGCATATTCATAACAAGAGTTAATGCATTAATAACTGCTGCAGGATGCTAAAATGATCTTTGTTGGTACAAACTGCATGGTAACGGTGTTCTTCCTGTGATGAGGTCTCTAAAATTGTATGTGAAGACTGTGTGTGTGTGTGTGTGTGTGTGTGTGTGTGTGTGTTGTTGGTAACCCACGTCTGAATTCTCTTTTTTATTTCACTGCTTATGGGCTGATGACTTCAAGATTTTTCCCCTCTTGCAACCTCTCTTCCATCCTCTTTCTGGTCAGTACACTGCAGGAGTGATTTTTTCATTTAATATGTGTTCCCTGCTTTGGTTCATTGACCACAGAATTTTTACATTTCTACATTAAACCACCTTTTCCATTTACTGACTCAGTAACTACCAAAACCTTTGTGGCTCTAGTTATGCAGTTATATGTTATTTGGCCTACCTTCACTTTAGAGTGCATATTATACTTTCTCTCATGCAAATGTGATATATGTATGTGTGTGTGTGTGTACACACACACACACACACACACACATACACACATCGTATGAATTTGATAATTAAAAATACATTTTCACATATATGAAAATCCAACCCCCCCACATAAATATATAACATATGTATATGTATTCGTTGTTATGCACAGTAAACAGTATCCCATGGTTTAGAATAATTCACTCTTTCTTGTACTGAATTTTTCATAACAGCTTTTTCTCCTTCAACATCCTTGGAACATAATTTTCAGCAGGTGCTTGAGAGTCTAGAAAGCAGACTGTTTGAGGAACAATGAGTATGAGTGGTAAACATTGGTCATTCTGAAAGCACCATAAGCTTGCTTCTATGGACAGGTAGCACACTAACATAATAGTTAAACTGAGCTGACCTTCTTTTAACCAAGAAAGTTGCAGATTTCATATTTGATATAAAATATTATATATATGTCAGACAGAGGAAGAAGAAGAATAGCTAGGGGGAGGAATCTACATATCAGCAATATAGCTGAGCGATCCCATCCTATCTTGTCTTTCTGTCTCACACGAACACACAGACTTTCATACTCTCTTTTTTTCTAGCATCTCACTCATCTTGTGGTGATTATTGCCAGTATAGTAGTAGAACCAGTGCATGTTTCTGATTTCCTGGATCAACCATCGATGTCAAGGTAATGCTACTACAAGTTGTGATGCTTTACGCACAGCAAGTGCCATTGTGATTTGCCCTAATCATTCATTTTTTGGTGCAGCATGTTTTTTGGGTACAAAAATGGTAGAGATGGGAGGAGTGGATATTCTGCTCTTGCTCATATTTTGACCCTAGCCAAAGAAGAATTGTTGGACATGTATAGCTCATCTCTCAACTCAAGGTGGAGTTTATAAGCCCTTGAAAGCTCAGTAGATCTTCAGAGGCATAACTAATTTATTTAGATAAGCCAAAGAGCAGGGGTATCACTCAACAGTAAATTACAGAAGACTTGCAGGCCAACAGTGACATTATGGAGCATGTGATCGAAGGGACTAAATTTGATATTTGTGAATACCAAATACCGAAGATAAACTTCTAAGTAGGTCCACTTTAACTGAAAGCTTCGGTCATTTTTAAAGTTGTGTCTTCAATGCTTTTGCCATTTTTAAAAATAATATAATCCTACCAAATACTTAATGGCAACATAAACATAAATGAGTTTGAGAAAATCATGCCTAACCAAACCACCTTTAGCAAGTGTAGCTTCTTCTATCAGTCCACTCTATGACGGAAAATGAGCGCTCACACTTTACATTGTGGGTGCCCTTTGTGGGATCGCGCGTGGTGCTACAGTTCCCAGGGAGCTTCGTGGCAAACAGGGGCCTGGCCTGCCTCTCAGTGTTATTATTTGGACGTTCACGCCCAGCCTCAGTGGTCAAGTTTCATTGCTGGGAGGTGGGGGCCAGTCCCATTTATATATAGGGGGTAGAGCCGACAGTAGCCAGGCAGTCGGCTCAGGAGATTCACCCACCCTCCCCTCCCTTAGTTTAATGTTTTCTTGTTTGCAGGTTAACTTTTTCTTCCTGTTTAGCGGGCGCTGCTACAGTCTTTGACTGGTTGCTGTTTGAAGGACCGGGTTTTGTCACAACTTTGGCTGTTTATGGCCTTGGGTGGAATCCTTTAGTCTTTTCTTCCCTATAATGGGGGTGGTGGTGGGTGAAGTGGTGACTTACCCCTCTGTGGTGGCGATTCCAGGGTTCCCTCTTAAAAGGGGTTATATATTGGGTGTCACTGGCCATACACTGAAAAGTTGTCAGTGAACTACCCTGATGTGCCGCAGTTCCCGTGTCTGGGGGGCTGGGAGGGATACATGCCCAAGGCCTAAGCCAAGGTCTTCCTACATTTGGAAGTTTAATAAAGTTGTGGCCTAATTTTAATTCCATAACACGTTGTCAGAGTCTTTATTCCTTTCTTATGATCCCTGGGGGCTGTCGCGGCCTGGTTACGCAAAGCATTGTCTGGGTGCATGTGAGAGCTGTCAAAGGCAAGGTCCATAAAAAATGTGGCAACCCAAAGGAGGAGCCAAAATAATCTACTTTAAAGCTTGGAGAAAATCATGCTGTAGACATGATCTAGATGTGTGTACACACAAGGAACTGCATGTCTGTGTATGTATTTCAGAGAACCAAAGGTGCAGAAAGAATAAGGCAGTAAGTAAGAGAGAAAAATCACTGTTTCATTCCACAATTTTTCCATTCTTCTTTGCAACAGAAAATAATATTTAAAAAATGCTACTCCAGTAGTAGGTAAGGTAGAACACAGACAGCTTCTTGCTACTTTCTTCCTGGCAGTGAACAGTCATTACTTATAGTGTTGTTTGCCATCAAAGAACAAACAGACAAGCATGCAAACTAGTAACCTGTTCTGACCTTCTACTCTTTGGTCCCCAGGGAAGCCTTTTAAAGAGAAAACCATTGATTTTTTACATCAGACAGTTATATATCACAACTAGTAGTAAATTGCCCATGATTCCCTGTATTATGTTCCCCAGGGAGCCTTCTGTAAGGGGAAACCAATGATTTTGACTTTTCAGGTGTGGATTTGCCCTTAAATTACCTCTTTTATAGTCTTAGTCCATGCAGCATCCATAACAGAAAACAAGCAGAAGGGAGAACAAAATCCTAATACAAGCCAGGTCTGAGTAATATAGCCTTTTTGCTTTGAGATGCAGCAGGAAATTCCATTTAGCAATATTTTTTGTGTCACTGTGGCCAAACCATCAAGTATGCACAGGAAGCGTTACTGATAAGAGTCCATTGCTTTGTGAGTCTATAGCTCTGTAGGCTTAAACTGCAGTCTCTTTCCCCATCTTGTAAGGACTTTAGAAAAGTTCTTAGGGTAGACCAGACTAAAGGGCCATCTTGTCCAGCATTCTGTTCTCACAATGGACAACCAGGTGCTTATGGGAAGTCACCAAGCAGGACCAGATCTCTTTTCAAACCCCAATAAAAATCACAAAGTCCAAGAAAAAAGCATATAGTTTTTTTCCCCTATAGGTAGAAATTGTTACTATACAACTTGGTAATATGCCAAGTTTTTATGATGCTTATGTCTCTTAGTTATGATAAATATATCCCACAAGTTGGTTAGTCACAGTTGCCTTTCACTGATAGACAGAGGGTGAGATTCAATGATGTGTCCAAAACTACCCAATGAGTTGGAGGTTGAAGCAAGGTTTGAATCCAAATCTCCCTGATCCAAGAGTTCCTACAGATTGCATAGCAAAGCATGACTTCTGGACAGCTATGGGAAAACTATGGAAAAAAAACATAGCCAACCTATTCAAAAAGAACCTATGAAAATCCATGTAAGTACATACACATTAAATAACTTGATTTCTCAAAATATAGTCATATTTAACCATCTTTTCTTTTGGTCTTCTCTTAGAATCATAGAACTGTAGAATTGGAACAGACCCCGAGGGTCATCTAGTCCAACGTCCTTCAATGCAGGAATCTCAATTGAATCCTCTAGTACAGATGGTCATCCAACCTCTGCGTAAAAGCCTCCAATGAAGGAGAGTTCACAACCTCCTAAAGAGTCCATTCCACTGTTAAGCAACTCTTATTGTCAGAAACTTACAATAATAATAATAATAATAATAATAATAATAATAATAATAATAATTTCCCCAGCCACTCTGGGCGGCTTCCAACAAAGATTAAAAATACATTAAAATGTCACACATTAAAAACTTCCCTGAACAAGGCTGCCTTCAGATGTCTTCTAAATGTCAGGTAGTTGTTTATCTCTTTGACATCTGGTGGGAGGGCGTTCCACAGGGTGGGTGCCACTACCGAAAAGGCCCTCTGCCTGGTTCCCTGTAGCTTTGCTTCTCACAGTGAGGGAACTGCCAGAAGGCCCTCGGCGCTGGACCTCAGTAGAGATGCTCCTTCAGGTATACTGGGCCAAGGCCATTTAGGGCTTTAAAGGTCAACACCAACACCAGCTCTCTTCCTGGCAGGGTGCCCATTCCCTGGGCAGGAACCTTGTGGTTAAGTAAAGCCAATCAGACAATGAGTCAATGAAACATTGCCTAGGCTGTGTGGAACGACTTACAGAGAAGTGGCTACAAGAGTCCAAGGGTATAATTTCAGGTGCCCTCATGAAATACGCAAAAGCATCCAAACAGTATCAAATAATAAAGCAAGATTCTGTTCAGCAAAGAGGCAGACTTGCTAGGGTACAATTACAGACACCTAAGTACAAGAGGCTCTGAAAAGTTGCCAAATCAAATACTCCACACCTGGCATTTATTTATTCAGGGATTTAAAATGAAAAGCGTTGAATCCCGACTTTTTACAATAACTGACTTTTTACAAAAGGCAAGGCACAGCAACAAAAGGCAACTCTAGTCTCCTCTACCCTGATCGCCATCACAGAAACTGATATGGAAATAACATAGGCAACTTGGGGGGGGGGGGGGTTGAGTGTAATAATATGTTTTCTTTCTTGTGTCTTCCTCTCCTGTTTTCTAGACCCATTGCCAATGTCTTAAATGAAAACACATATAAAGTAGGAAATATAACAGTAACAAAAGTGTTGAGTGGCTTCCAGCCAGCCACATGTCAATGGCAATGAAACCAAAATGCAACCAAAACGTTTTTTCTCAACAAGGCAATACAGACTTGTCATTTCCGTTATTATTTGCTGCATCTCAAAGCTTCCAGTTATTGGGAACTAAGGCCAGTTGACATAAATAGCAGATCTGATGGTAAACCAGGACTATACCACATCAGACTGTGAGGTCATATGTTACCTTAAAGCATTACGGGAACCTGAGATTTGGATAATGATATCATTATTACAAAAATGTGTTGTTTTGTTAAGAAAACTGAAACAATTATTTGTCATTTTCATGCATTTGCATGTTCCCTTGTCTATTTTCCCTTCTTTTCTGTAAGCTGCTTTGGGTACTAATTGGTAGAATAGCAGGTTATAAATACGAAATAACATTAAATAACTACATGCTGCTTTCAGTGGAAAAAAAATCCTGCATCAGAGTAGTAAAAAGCCACCCGAAAA